TTCTCAGAGAATAATGACCAATACAGAAAGTAATTGACGTTTCACATTTAGATGTGTGCAGAAAGCCTTAGCTAAGCAAAGATAAACCATTTCTCTGCTATAAGACTCCACGTAGCACATTAGCATGCACCGTGAGTTCTCTGGAAAGATAGAATACAAGGTTTCCCTTGATCTTATCAGAAAGCTTTGGTGTATGATCCGCAATCATAGGTGCATGATCTCCCTCAGAAAGATGTGACAAGAAACACTCCTGAAGATGCTTTCTAAGGAACTGGGACCCAAGAGGCTTACAGGGCTTGCTAAAGCCCAGTCCCTCACCCAAGCGGGTCTGGGGGTCACACAGAAAATGCATTGCTGACAAGTGCCTGGTTCCCAGGTAACACTGATGTGTTTGGTCTGCAGAACACACTGCAGGAAGTACTGCTTTAAAGCAATCTCTCCTCCTTAGAGAGCAGTTGGAAATCACCCATCCAGCGTTCTCCTGAGAGGTTAGCCATCCACCTGAGGGTCAGTAGGACCAAAGATAGTAAGGGGTCTCTTACCGCACCAGGATAATTCCCTGGGCTCAGGTCTAGAGAGAGGACTTCATCCATGGACTTTCTTAGTGGTCTCACAGACACAGGTACCCACCGTGTTTCTGAGTAACAATAATGTTCACATATCCCCCAAAATGAACGTGTCCATCAATTGACTCAGCTGTCGAGAACCACACATTCACGTGCTACTGCTTGAACAGCCCCGTGATGGTTTTAATAGCAATTTTCCACAATTTAGAATCACCTGAGTAGGGAGCCACACGTGAAGAACTGTCTGGAATGCATTGATACAGGAAGACCCACCCCAAATACAGACAGCACGTCTGGTAACAGCCCAGGTAAAAGGGGGCATGGCAAGGCAGAGGGAGGATTATTCATCTTTTGCTGGTTGGGCCTTCCCTCTCACAACGGAGTTGATTTGTCCTGTAGCTGCTGCTGATTCCTTTACCTACTTGGAAGCCACTGTTTCCAGGCTTCTGTCATTGACTGAGAACCAGCAGCTCTTCAGGAACCCTCTGGATTTCAGTACCAGATTGGGACTGTGGAGGCACCCAGACCTCTGGACTGAGCAACCACTGGGGTCTCAGCCTCTCCAGTCAGAGAAGCCACTGTGGGACTCCTCAGTCCTGTGGGAGTCCTCTGGATGCTGAGGCACCACCCAGCCTCAAGGATCAAGCACCTACCAGGGTCTCAGCCGCTCATGTGATTCAGCTATGGTTATAATTTTGAAATAAAGCAGATTACTAAATTCTTTTAATATATGCATACACACACATATGCTGTCAGTTCTGTTCCTCAGAGAACCCTGACTCATACATCCAGTATGGTACAGAGAGTGAGAGGGAGTGAGAGCAAGAGTGAGATTGAGAGAGAGAAAGATAGAGGAGAGCCCACTGATCACTGTTAAGTCAAGGATGAGAGAAACAATTCACACTCAGCCAACACCATTATAAACCCCTTGGAACAGGGTTCTTTGACACCCTGTTGATGAGCCATTCCATCTGTAAGGTTGAGGCTGGAGCTTGTTTCCTAACTGCCTTCACTGGCCCAGTTCATTTCTACACATTTTGGCATGAGCTCAGGTGCCTCTCCCAGCTATGTCTTCCTTAACCACTTCCTGGGCCCCTCGATGCCACCACACAGGCCACAGCTGCGTGTGGGGCCCATCACAGCTGTGGTGTGTTCTCCCCAAGGAGACCATGTGCTCCAAGGAGGTCTCGAGGTCTTCTCTTCCTTGTTTCCTTGACTTCTACTTAAAATCCTGGAGCAGGATAGGTGCTCAGCTAATTTCTATTAGATGGACAAGTGGATGAACAGGCTATGTTTCATTCTAGCAGCAAACCTTAGGAATCGGGAATCCTAAGACTGTCAAAGAGATAAAAGTGTGCTGATGTTCCCTGGAGTGCACCGGGGATGAAGTCAGCAGCCACTCCTGTTTCTGTGGAAATCATTGCTCTCCTCAAAGAGCATTTAACTCACTGTCATAGTAGGATCAATACTTATTCCTATTCTGTATTAGATTTTTGTGCACTTCATACATCTTAATCATATTTAGACCCCCTCCCGTATCTGAACCCCCCCATACCCCCCACCAGATTTTATGCATTCTGTCATATACATTAAAGCCTATCAAGTCGAGTTTGTATCCCCAGATGCCCCTTGGTGTGAGTTCATCCACTAGAGCCTGGTCAACCTATCTACTGTCATTCCCTCAAAGAAGACCAGTGCCTCCTCACCCAGCCGTGATCGGCTGCCTCACCTAAGGTTGGGGCTTCTTGCCCATTTCTCCACTTCTGTGCTGGCTTTTTGTCTGGTTTGAGTTTCCATGGGTTTTATACATTGCTGTCACCATTGCTGTAAGTTTAAATGAGTAAGTTCCCAGCCACAAGGAGAATTCTGTTTTCTCATGGTCATCTCCACCCCTGGTTCTTGAAGTCTTTCTTCTACAATTATCCCTGAGCCCTGGTAAGTGAGGTTTAATATAGAAGTCCTATCTAGGGTCTAGGGACATGCACTATGCAGTCTCTTATTCTCTACATTCTGGCCAATTGTGGCTTTCTGTTAATCACCATCTGTTGCATGAGGAAGGTTCACTGGTGAGAGTTGAGAGACGCATTAGTATACTTTTTGGGGGCGGGGGGACAGGGTCTCCCCGTAGCCCTAGCAGGCCTGGAATTCACTACGTAGACCAGCCTGGCCTTGAACTCATAGAGATCTGAGATCTGCCTGCCTCTGCCTCCTGAGTGCTGGGATTAAAGGCATGTACCACCACACCCAGCCAAGGGATGCATTAATATTCTCTTTACCCCCTGTTCCACTATGTTCTCCCTGAGCCTTAGGTGTAGAGGTTGCATTATAGATGTGTCACTTAGGGCTGGGCATCTCACAGACCAGCTGTGGAACTCTGTTATAGTCTTCATCTGTTGCAAAAAGAGGCTTCTTTGATGAGTGGTGATATGTGTGCTTGTCTGTAAATATAACGATCCATATTTAGCATACAGTAGGAAATTAGATTTGTCTAGGGATGTGACAGACATAGGTTTTTCTCTAGGCTCTATGACCTCTCCACCCATGTGTATTGATCTGTTTACAGTATCACACATGAGTTTCCTCCCATTCTGCAGCCTTTAAGTCCAATTAGATAGCTGTTGATTGCCCCAGGATAGAGATAGTTTCCTGCACTGGTCATTGTTGTGGTTATTAGGCTTTAAGCTGGGGTTGGGCATTGACTGATTTTTCTCCCTTAGTATGGTCTGATACTATGAGAGCTAGTCTTCAGGAAAGAGGTTTCCAGGTCAGTTCCGCCTCCATTGCTCCAAGTCTAGTGTCTGAAGTATGTCCTGTCTTCAGCAGTAGAGTCTTACCTTCAAGTTCGGGGAGGTAATCAATCAAGGGCTGTGGCAATAGCCTGAATTATTCTGGGAGTCTCTTGAACTACCCTGACCAACAATTCAAAGGGAGGTTTCTCCTGTCTGGCACTGTATTTCTTGCTATATAGCCCTGCAATACACATTGTACAAATGCACTCATTATATATATATATGTATGTATATATGTATATGGATATTTTTCAATAGGATTTTGAGCTAATACATTTCCCTCTGGTTTTTCACACCACTTAAGCACTTACGCATTATTTATCTTCTCTCTCTCTCTCTCTCTCTCTCTCTCTCTCTCTCTCTCTCTCTCATTATCTAATACTTCCACCTCTCTCCTGAGTTAAATACCCCCATTTTCCCCCATAATATCCCCCTCTCTCAGACTCCTTGTTTCCTTTTACCCCCATAGTTCCTTTCTATTTTCCTGACTCCAGTGGCTACGTCAGGGTGTATGCTTGAATCTAGGGCTTTGGAGCTAAGATCCACAAATGAAAGAGAACACATGTTGCTTGCTTTTCTGAGCCTGTGTTATATCACTTAGTATAATAGTTTCTAATTCTGTTTACCAGGCTAGTCCAGAGGTCTGAGGTTGGAGGAACAGGAAGGGGCCCAGGCCCAAGGTCGGGGGAGGACACCATGGGGAGGGTCTAACTAGCTAAGCAGAGTGGATGCAACCCCAGAGCAGAGGAGGGATCATCACTTTGTTAAGGATGAGGAGATCAAGTTTCTTTTCTTAGTGAGTGGCATTTAAAGACTAAATCTCCCTAAATATTAAAAAATTAAATATTTAAATATATATTTAAATACATATTAAATTATATTACCATTAATTATTAATATTAATAAACTAAAATAAATATAATACATTTAAATATATTTATTAAGTATTAAAAGATTAAATATTTAGGGATGGGCAAGGCTTAGGGAAATGGAAGGGTCCTAAACTTTCCAAACCTATGGAATCCTTAGACCAGTAGTATGGCTCATCAGGTTAAAGTGTTTTCTGTGCAGGCCTGATGGCCTGGTTCAGTCCCTGGCACCTACAGTGGAAGGAAAGAATGGACTCATGAAAGTTGTTCTCAATAATAAATAAATAAAAATAAGCCTCTAGACATTCAGGTTTTCATTCCTTCCTCTTAGAGTTCCCTATCTTCCCCACAGTTCCCCCTCCACTGAAGCTGCCAGTCCCCTTCTACAGCTGAGGAAAGCCCACACAGATTAAAGGACCTGCACACAGGATATGCAGAGCTCAAGGCAGAGCAAGGGTAAGTCAGTCTTCCTGATGACACCAGTCTGTTGCTTACTACCAAATGCTCTCAGCAGAGAGGATTCTGAGCAACTTCTGGGCACAGTCTAGGAGAGCTGGCCCAGAAAGGAGGCCTCAGCACCAGGCCCACCAGAATTTTTCTAACATTGCTAAGTGCAATTAATTCTGATTTCTGAATTAAGGGAGGGAATGGAGGGACAGGAAGGGAAGGAGAGACAAAGGGGGGGGCTACATTTACTAAGACATTTTGATAATCGATCCTTTGTATGAAGAAAGCTCGAAATGACACCTAAAGATTAAATACGCCAAATAGGGATGTCTGTTGAAAATCTTTTATTAGAAACGACATAAACACACTCTATTTCATTAAGCAAATACATGTTTCCTTTGCGTGTGTTGTTATGAACATTATCTCTCAGCACAATGGTTCTTCTCGGAGTGGTCACTCAGATATTCAGTAAGTGCCAAGTATCAGGCACTATAAAAAGTACCAAATAATTTTAAAAATGAAGGCAGAGGGGAAACGCATAGACTGACATCTTAAAAAGATTACAGTCCAGTTAACTGCTTTCTTTATTTTGGATGTCTTTGTTTTTAGCACATCCACTTATAATATCTTAGTTCCTGACATACAAGTCATTAGAAAATACTCTTTGTATCAAAATTGGACAATTAACTAAGTAAAAAAAATAGGGTTGGAACACTAGTTTTAGACTTAAATAATTAAATATTTATGAAAACTTTACATTATTTCCTGGGTTTTTATAAGTTTTAATTTTTTAATGTATGACATTTCAAAGACCTAAAATCTTTTACTAAAAAAGAAATTGTCTCTATCTTCTACCAATATGCAAAGGAATACTGTCTTATTTGAAATGGGCCCTGAGTCATGGCCAAGATGGAAATTAAACAGAGAGCACAGCCACCTCTCCTGACCTCACAGAGGTCTGTATCTCCTTCCTTTAGCAACTTTGATAATTTCTCGGTGTTTGTGTGAGAAGGTGGATGTAAATCGGAATATTCACAGTGCAAAGCTCAAATTACTCCTTTGGAAAGTTGTCTACTAATATGCATTTTGCAGATATTTCTCTTTATCTGTGTTTATTTATGGCTACTAGACACTACCCCAAATTTCCATGTTTATATTTGTTTTTCAAAGATGATTCATAATTATATAAATATTTACTTTTAGGCCTTTGTAGGCTTCCTCATAAATATATTAAAAATTATCTTCACTCTCATCAACAAACCATATATCCCATTTTTGGTGTGAAAAATATCAACTATTGTTTCTGCATAGCCCACAAGAATCAGGTGATTCTTGGAGGTGCGCAGTTTTATTACTTTAAAAGTCTTCAATGTGGTTCCAGCCACGCAAGGTCATATAGATATAGCATAATCAAAGAACTTTCTGAAGCTTGTTCACAGAACTAAGCTTTCCCCTGATATATCTCCCAACCCCCACCCCACATATCTGAAAGGATTATCTCAAATACTCTCCATGATTTAAATAACAATTTTAAAAAGAACTTTAACACCACAATAAGGAATTTGTCGTCATGACGCGCACAATGCGGCTACCCCAGATGCTATATTCAAACTGTATGGAGCCGTTGAAAAAGTAGATATAACCTAGGAGAAAAAAGACCACAAAGAAAATATCAGACTTTGAGAATATTAGGATTTACTACAGCTAATACTTAACGAGCCAATCTGTTACAGTCCCTATTGATTACCTATGTAATCACTTCTTATAGTTCTAGAGATTCAAGTCAAGACCTCACAAATGCTAGGCAAACGTCTACCACTGAGGCACATCCTCAGGCCCTCCAGTTACTCTTTATCTCCCAATTTTAATTGTTAAACACTAAAAAAGTTTTAATGCATTACTTGTAGTTTAAAAGATATAAGTGGGGCAGGGAAGATAGCCCAGTGGTTAAGAGCACATACTGCTCCTGCAGAAGACCCGAGTTTGGCTTTCAGCACCCACACTGGACAGCTCATAACCACCCATAACTCCAACCCCAGAGGATCCAATGCCTCTGACGTCTGTGGGCACCTGCACACGTGCACAAACCCACATGAAGACCTACACACATACAGATAATTAAAAAACAAGATAGCTGGCATGGGGGCACACACCTTCAATCCCAGCACTTGAGAGGCAGAGGCAGGTAGATCTCTGGAAATTCAAGGCCAACTTGATCTACATAGCATGTTCCAGGCCAGCTCAAGCTACATAGTGTTTCAAAATACTACTACTACTACTACTACTACTACTACTACTACTACTACTCCTACCACCAATAATAATAATAATAATAATAAGGTAAATCCTTTTGAAAAGGTGTAAGTGTCCCAGATCACCTAAATTAACTGTCTTGCCATGGATTCTAGTTTTGATGTTGGAAATATTGGCATTATTTATTTGTCATAAGTTAGGGATAATGCTATTTGTCATAATTAAAGCAAAAATAATTACGTGGTTTTGGTAGCTGTGAGTCTTTATCAGTTCCTCCCACTCCAGCCCTAGTCGGAATGTTGACAACTTGCCTCTTAGCACGTTCACACGTAACTTAGGGTCACATTTAGGGTCTGTGTCTCTTATTCATGGACTTGGCAGGGCTTCAGTAAAATTTATTCATTTATTCTAAGCAAGGTATTTTTGTTTGCTGTCTAAGTAGTTACACAGAGCAATTAGTGCCTTATCAACTGTGTTATATTAACATATCTGAATCTGGTGTTAAAATCCTTTGTTCGGGGCCAAGAAGCCCCTCTGCACTCAATGGACAATAAGCACTTACCATTTTTCTCATAGACAGCATCTACTTTATCACCGATTCCTGGGAATTCCTCTTCTATGAGTCGGGGATAGTTTTTGTCCATAGTCTGGTTAGCATCATCGTAACTATTTAATAAGAAGAAGAAATTTGTGAGTAAGCTGTATTTATCAAAAACTGCTTAGAAGAGCACAAGAAGGAGTCTGGGAGAAAGATTAGAAGGAACACAAGTACCAAAGTCCAGAGACAGCTTCACTGTGGCGAAGGACGGAGAGAATGGTTGGAAGAATATGAATATTGTATGTGGGGTGTGCGTGTGTCTAAGTGTGTGTGCGCACATGTGTGCACGCACACACTTGCTTTCATCCCTGAGGTTCTGCCTGAAGGAGCTGACATAGAGCAAGAACACAGGGCAGGTATCACATCTGTAAGTGTGAGGGAGTATGGGAGTAGGCAGTAGGGAGACGGGAACAAATGAGAACAAAAGCATAAAGGCACATAAGTATGAAGATCTCATGATGAAGCCCATGACTGTGTATGCTACCTTTAAAAAATTAATAAAGATAACTAAAGATTAATAAATTAACTCATTAATTAACTAAGATAACTAAAGATTAATAAAGATAACTAAAACTAATAAAAAATTAATAAAGATATAAATAAAACCACACTTCTAATTGAAAAAAAAAGTGAGACAATAGTTCATCACAGTGATAGTTGTGTGATGAAGACTTTGCCCCTGCCATGCACATGGGCCTGTGCGTTGCTACCTTACCTCCACACCTGGTTTCCTGAGAAGAAGAGGGTCTTGCCTGTGTTCTCAATGTGAACGGCAGCACTTAGCTTCTTAACATCTTTTGGAAATCCCAGTTCAGATATTTTTTTGGGATAACCTTCCAGAACGTCATAACCATTAAGAGCCCAAAACTTTCTACCTAGAATAAGTGAAAGAAGAGTTTTATTTTCCAAGAGCATTTCTTAGGACTCGTGCTTGTAAGGATTTACTGGAAAGGAAGACTGTTTAAGAAATAAAATATTTAATGCTTGTGACCTCTGTGTTTATGAAACACAAAAATAGGAGCATCCTTTCAAAAAAATTAGTCCTATTTAAAGACTGGCATTTCCTACTTATCAACATAGTTAGTCAAATATCATACTTAATCTGCCAGTTTATCACTCCACAATCTTAAGTTTGGAGTCGAATGAAAAAATACGTTAAAATTTTGGAATAAAGAGCAAATAGAAACAGTGAATTTGATTGAAAATTCAACTTGTATGCCAATAGGAAAGTTCTTCTGTAGAAAACAGTCTTCATTGCAACATTAATTAAAATAGTCAAACAATAGAAATGATGTCAGCAAAATGTTTTGCAAAGGCATTAAATTACAGTCATTAAGGCAAGGTAACATTTTGAAATATTTTCCATTATTATATATAAAAGGGACAAACAGGAGCCGGGGAGATGGCAATGTGTAACAGCACCAGGGGTACATGCATGAGGACCCGAGTTCAGATCCCCAGCACCCATGCAGAAGGCCAGATGTGGCCCCAGCACTTGTAACCCCAGTGCTGAGGGGAACACAGGAGAATCTCAGGGGCTCAGCAGGCAGCCTAGTTGGGGGGGGCACGTAGAGCATATGCACCCATACTTTGCAGTGAAATATGTATAAAGATGTCGAAGGACTAGAAAAAAAAAGAGGTGAAGAAATGAATTTACTTATAGAGGGGAGAATTATGCTTAGGTTTTTTTGTTTGTTTTTCAAATTGTACACTGTTTTCTTAGTAAGAAGTTTTGAGAAGAACTAAAAGAAAAAACTGAAAGTATTGCTGTAAAACAGAGAATGGATGTGGTAAACAGAAACATGGACCTTTTTTTCCTTCACCTTTGCATTGCTGGGGATCATACCCAGGGTCCTGCTCATGCTCAGCAAGTGCTGTACCACTGAGCCACATCCCCTCCCCATAACAGGGACCTTTTACATATCAGATTTAAGACATTTACTGGACGGGTTCAGGTGCTTTCTAGTTTTCATGTGTTACACTAGGTTCTTAATTTAGGTGTATTTTTAGTAGTGACCTTGTTTCTAAGTCTCTGGTGGCATAAAGGTTGTCATCTGGCCATGTGGAAACCCTCCCTGAGGACAGTCTTACCTCTAAAGATGAACATGAGGTCACGGGAAGGCTGCTCATATGCAGCGTCCACACGGTTGGGAAGTTCTGGCCAAAATGATTTTGTTAAAAACAGCTCGACATCGACCTGCTGAGGGTGCAGACGCCAGAAGAATCTAATGCCAAAGTAAAAACACAGAGCTTTCTATCACACCATGTGCAGTATTTCTATCCTGCTGACCAACACTGTCTACATCAGTGCAGATAGGTTAACACAACCAGGACCTAGCACGTGTGAGTGGAAAATAAACACCATATGCCTCTAAGTTGCAAGTTACAGCCTTCCAAATTCTAGTCAAAGATCTTCCTGTTTGAAATGTCACAGAGCCTTAGTGAAGGGTTTATGTTCTCTGTGACCTGAAACTATGCTTTGTTCAATTTTGTATTTATTCCAAGTAGCAAGCGGATGTGCCAGGCACTGTGTCCAGCTTTAGAAAGAACACATGAATTCTAGGATGTTATCTCAAGGCCATGCAAACTGATATGAAAGGAAACATCTGGGGGACCACAAATTCAGAGCCTTAACAAATGACAAACAGATAAACAAGCAAATATAATAAACAACAAATTGGAAATAAACACTTCACTTTCATTTTCTGTAGCTTTAGCTTTAGAGTGTAAGCGTTTCTCAAATTCAAACATCTGTGCTTAAAATCAACCTTTCAATTTCAAAAGGAATTCATGTGGATATTTATTGGTAACAATTTACTAATTCAGTGATTTTTTTCAACATTTGTCTTGTTTTTCAAATAAATTGGATTCCTAATTTTCCTTTATCCTAATAAGAAACATTGTAACCAAAGGTATAAAGGAAACAGCACAAAACAAGATTATATATCAAAAAGTAAAATGTTTATCCATCACTTATTTGATCTGAACTATGTCAATTGCCACAGATCTGTTATTTTTATGCTACTATTATTTTTATGCTACTATTTGGAGGTTTGACTGGATTGTTTTGGCAGTTTAAAGACACAGGTTTGCCAGTGTTTCTACAAGCAGATTTGACAAAGGAATCTCAGTAGTACCTGTCTTTAAAGATCATGGTTTCTCCTCGGAGAGTGGTAATGGCATCAAGGGATAAGGCAGGGTCACATTTGTCTGGTGTTTTGGGATGTTTAGGGTTGGGGTCTTCATCACCTGGACCTGCAGTCATAAAACAATTGTGAGAAGTTACAGAGAAGTGACCAGCTAAGTAACTTGAGTCACTGGAAGGCTGATTCTGCTGTAGGAAAGCAGGAAAAGGCTCCCCGGAAGGAGGGGACAGTAATTCCAGAGACTCAGACCCAGGACAAAGGCCCAGCCAGCAACCCTAGCTCCTTCCTGCACAGTCACCGCAGGCTTGAGGGTGATATCCCTCAGCTTTCACGGCTCCAGAGCCCTGCAGATTCTTCTGAACTGTAATTATACACGTCCTGACATTGGAATACACGGGAGAAAAATAAAAGCCTTAGTGCATCGAGCAGTAGCCCCACACAGCTTTACACAGCTTTTTGTTTTTCTAATTCTGTCTCCAGGTATTTCATCGCAACACAGTAGACGGAAGAGCTGTAGAAGAAACTAAAGAGTTCCCTTCACGCCTTCAAGTAGATTCAAATCCAAAGGCGAAATAAGGGGTTAAAGAGGCATGAGCAAGTTCTCAGAGCCTTTGCTCCAAGTGTTTACCCTGATGCCTGCGCTTGTTGGCTGCGGTTCTATTTATGGCAGATAACCCATAAGTAAGTGTCTGGGTTGAGGTTTAAATGTTTTGTAAATATTACTGAATAAAGTGGAAGGAAAATTTTCTTACACAGTTACTGTAGATGTGGGCTGAAAACTACCGAAGGCCGCATAGAGACTTCCACTTTGGTAAATTGATGTGGTTAAAGAGCATCCAGAATTTACAAGACCACTCATGTCCTCATTTCTATCAACACCTGAGCTCTTTAAGCTCTACAGGGTTTAATTGCTTCATTGGTTAAACAAAGAGTAAATATTTTCCTTTCTAAACATACAGGTATTTTGAGGTGTCAAATGACTCTTGCAATGTACACAATACAAATACAAGGAAGTATAGTCTGCAAAAGGCTTAGAAAATGGAACATTTTCTAATAGAGCAAATAGTTTAATTCAGAATGATGGACTATTTTCTCATGTTTCAACAAAAAAACAATGGTGGCATTATTGGAAGTGGCATAAGATGGCTTCTTAATCTAGACAGCAAACACATGCCTCTGTTCTGCTAAAACAGCTGCTGTCCTTAGCTTTATGACTGGCAGAGTGAGAGTTACCATAGAGAGACTGGATTCCTTGTACATCATCATTAGGAAGCATGAAATGGCTTTTCCCAGTGTAGGTGTAGATGGGAAACATCAGGGCACCTGGGTCTCTGGAGTGGTCCAGACCTAGGGAGTGGCCGAGCTCATGGGCAGCAACAAGGAACAAGTTGTACCCTGTAAGAAAACATGATGCTTCAATGAGGGGACAGGGAAGGAAATAGTAACCCTCCATCCTTCTTTTCCTAATTCATCATTACCTTACTTTTTTAAAAAATATTTTATTTACTATTTTTATTTTATGTGTATGAGTGTATTGTCTGCATGTATGTGAGTGTACCAGTGTCGTGAAATGCTGCAGAGGTCAGAAGAGGGCTTCGGATTCCCCTGGAACTGGAGTTAAGGTCGGTTTGTAACCACCATGTGGGTGCTGGGAATCAAACCCAGGTCCTCTGCAAGAGCAGTCAGTGCTCTTAACCGCTAAGCCATCTCTCCAGCCCCCATCATTATCTTACTTTTTAAAAATTAATATTCAGTAGCCTAAACAAAGATCCAAAGCATTGATTTAACTCATATAATAATGCATGGTTCTCTTGGATTATAGCTGCCCACATGATTAGTCAATCACCTACAGCATCGTCAATAAATTGTTCTCAAATAATTAGTAGTCAATAAAGATGGACTGTAAAGACATTGGGAATCTGGATTTTTTTCTTTGTCTTCTCTGGCCAGGTTAGAAAAGCAGACAGAAATGATCTGGAATCAGCTGTGGGAAGTCACATAGACTCCTGCATTGCTGAAACGCTGCCTAGCATATCATTCAAACTGGTAATGAATCTGGGAAGAAACTCCAACCAAATGATTCTAGAATTTTTCCTAGACTCTGCAGTTTGGAAAAACAGAAACTCTGGGCATGATTACCCATCTTCCCTCTGCTCTAGAATATCTCTATGTCACTGTGTTTAGATTGTTCCTCTAATCATTCTTTCCACCAAGTTTTAGATTCCTACTACTGTTATTTTAAATTGGAAAAAAAAAATCAGAGCTAGGGACATGTCTTCAGAGAAGAGCACTTGCCTAGCATGCATGAAGCCCTGGATTCAATCCCCAGAACCACACACACACACACGCACACAGACACACACAAAGACACACAACCACCAGAATATCATTACGAGAGAGAGAGAGAGAGAGAGAGAGAGAGAGAGAGAGAGAGAGGAGCTGGAGTCAGCAGTTTCACATGTATATTAAATACCCTTTCATTATCAGGGCTAATACATAAAGAAACTTGCATGTTATAAGGCAATCATGGGTCACATAATCTGAGGGCTCAATAATTCTTCATTGTAGTGACTAATAATGGTTACCATTATTGGCCTTTGGCTGAAAACTTAATCCAACTTTTTGTAAATGCTTTCATTTACTTAAATATTTCAAGACTGGGATTTATGTAGGAATCTAAGTCTGAGGCTTACTGTGACTCTATCTTGACAATACTCTTCTTCTTAAATCCATCTGTACCCATGAAATACTCAGGCACAAACACACAAATCCTTGCCTTTCTTTCCAAAGACCAACTGGAGGCAATGGATTTGAGGAGTTCACTGTTCACTTAAAGGGCCAATATTACCCTTGGAAGGAATCCTATTTATTTATTCTGTCTTTTGAGACTTTCTACACGGCTCAGCTGTCCTCAAACATAATCTTCTTGCTTCAGTCTCCTGAGTGCTGGGGTCACAGGTGCACATTGCCATGGCTTTCTTTATATTTAAGTCAATAATAAAAACAACTGTCTGGGAAGATTGTTTTGTTGTTGTTGTTGTTGCTTTTTAGGGTTTTGGGTTTTGTTTTGTTTTGTTTTGTCTTTTTGAGACAGGGTCTCCCTGTAGCCCCAGCTGACCTAGAACTCACTACGTAGACCAGGGTGGCCTTGAACTCAGAGATTCATCTGCCTCTGCCTCCCGAGTGTTGGGATTAAAGGCGTGGGCCACCAAGCCCGGCTCGAAGATTGTTCTTAGTTGTCTTAGTACAACTAGAACTAAGGCTCTAGCTCTAAAATTAAACTCTACTTGGAATAATCAAAGCTTTTCTTGTTAAATTACTATCCCGATTAATTTGAGGAAAAAAAGCGGCCAAGAATGATAGCCATAATAGTCATGGCAATAAAGGGATCACTGCCAAGGGATTTGAACACTGAGTTTATTTTACTCTTATAAGTACAACCTTCATCTTTTCTGCCTCTTGCTATTTAGAGTAAGACATCATCTTGACTTCTCAGAGGAGTATGACTTACCTAAGGAGAAACAGAAATTTGACTGTACTTACACTGTTACTAGCCTATTACTATTCCTTCCAAGGAAACAGCTGTACAATTTATATCCAACATAGCTATGAACCACAGACCCAACCCTGATGGGTTTTAGATATATTTATAATAAACTATATTTCTTCAACAGGCAAAATAAGAAACAATACCTTAGCTGTCAGAAAAGATGTTTTGGCCTACTTCCGAGTTAGTGTCCCTCAAGCCACAGTAATAAGTTATGTAGATTTTATTCATTTCCTCACATTTAGTAATTTGTGTAAGTGTTTATCGGAGAACCACCAAGTTTAAGAGATACTTTTTATTACTTTAGAAAATGCAATCAAATAATATAATGTACTAGTGTGCTTCCTAGCTTAGTACCTATGGGTCTATTGTCTAATAATCTGTGAGTTACATCGTTATAAGAAAGATTACCTTTGGAACTGCTTGTCCAGGTTTCATCATCATCAAAATGAGCATCTCCTCCATAATTTGGTCCAGGAGGAAAAGCATGTGCCAGAAGACCAGAAGGCCCATCAAATGGGTAGGAGTCACCATGCTCTGTGAACGAAAGCAAGAATTAGATTCTGATTATACCCCCTGGTGCTTGGATCAGGGCTTGGTGGATTCTTGCCAAATGCTATAAGGTGATAAATGACTTGGTAAAGGAATATGAAACTGGAACTAACTAAGGATTAACATATTTACATGTTTTAAAATCAATTCTGCATCTTTACCTTTAGTTCCAAAAGATATCATGATATCAGCTGTGCCCTCGTGGATTTGGGTGAAATTCAGGGGTGTCACATCAGACCAGACTTTGAAGGCTTTTTTGAAGGCCTTCTCCACTTCAGAATGGGACATATCAGGTGTGTAGTTCACAATTCTATTCAACAGAGAGAGTTTCATTTAAATTTCGGAAAATTAGAACTATTTAAAAAATATACTTTCTTAGACTATAGCTTTTTGGCTGAAAACTCAAAAGTTGTATTAGAGTTTATTAATTAGTATGCCTTATAAGAAAGAAAATCAAGAATTCGATCAAGTACTTAAGCATCTCCATATATGTGAACATGTGGCATATTAAATTTAAAATAGTCAAATGTATAATCTAAGTGAGTTTGCATGCTAAAAATTTGGAGATGTATTGATGCAGCAATATTAAATAAAATGCCCCTATGAAGTTTCTAGAAAGAATAGAGTCCTCCGTCTTCAGCACTATAATAAAATTATGGTTGATGTATCACATTTATAAATTTTCTTGAATCTACTTTTATTTGTACTTTGGTTTCATTTCTAAAAGAAATATTTTGAGATACCCACTGAAAAATAATGTTGGTCTATGTTACTGTAACAGAGTTTATGAAACATTCTAATTTATTCATTTTTCATGTTTAACATTGACTTGTAGAACTCTTGTAGAAACACTAAGTGCAAGATAAACTTTTAATTTTTAGAACAAAATACAATCAAATACTAAATTTAACTTACTTGTATGCATCTTAAATTTGCATTGAAGATAATCTGGCTTTAACTTTCAGTTAAATACTTAAGGCCTGCTGAACATTAGACACTTAGAAAAAACTAACAAATGTGAAGGAAATGTAGCCTGGGTGTTACCTGTAAGTTAAATTCGTTTGGGTCCATTTGAGAGCTCGAGGGAAAACATTGTATTCACCCACATCAGGGACACCGCATCTTGGTTTTCTCATGATGTCTAAGGTGGGATCATCAAGTTTGCCAGTCACTTCTAGGCCAAAGAAAGACTGCATGTCTCGGAGCCTTTCAACCGTGGAGGTCACTGCTGCCTTCTTCAGGATTCCGGCAAGATTCACAGGATGATAGTATGATTTCAAGTAGTGCTGGAAAAGAGACCAAAATGCCCTGCTTTTTCAGAGAGAAGGGATTTTAAAAGACGCGCCATGCTGCCAAGATTGGCAGGATACTCTACCTCTGCAAGCTGGAGGTCTTCCTCGGATAAATCATCACTATCATCGCCATCGCGCAGTGGCAGGGACCCACAGCGAGTCCAGCTCAAGAAAAGGAAGGCAGCCAGGACAGCTGAGTGCATGTTGAATGGCAGTGCCTGCATCTTGCCTTCCCAGGGCAAACACCTTCCCTTTTATAGGCCTGTGTGGTGAGTCACCACCCAGGGACATGCATTAACTTCCTACTCAGTCGAAGGTAAACATGCTTACATGGCCACTTTTTTTTTCTTTCCTCCCAGTGTGGTTTGTGGTAGAATTTGAGGGAAACGGAAAATGAGAGCGTCTCTAGTTTCAGCGGGGGTCTCAAAACCCATCTGGTAAAATAAACGGCCTCAGCATATTTCTGGCTGCTGTGGGAAGAAGAGAAATGGAGATTCGTTTTTCACTTTATGAGGCAGAAATGTTTTCTTCCTTCCTTAAGAAAAGCAGCTACTGTGGCTTTTTCGGATGATAAGAATATCAAAGTGATACCTCTACTCTCAGAAAGGGAAACAAAGCCCTGCTTTCAAAGTGTCTATAGACTGAGTTCTCAACTGCAGCGCAATTACAGTGAGACTGCTTGCTGTGCTCCCCTGCGGGTCACACCAGAACCAAGCTTGAAGTCGCCTAAGTGTTGGAGGGGTTAGAATTTAAATAAACCCATGGTTGGGATTTAAACACACTGGCATAACCTTTCAATGGCTGTGGAGTACTGTGTGAATGTCCTACAGTTCCCGCAGAGGCAGAATGAGTCTCTTGAAATACAACTCTACTGGTTAGGACTATGTAGTGAGGGATGACTCCTGACCAGGCTTTATAAAAGGCATTATCTCATTTACTCCATGCAGCATCCCAGTTAGGCATTATGGGAAGGCACAGGGTCCCACACTGTAACCCAGGAAGCCTACAACTCCCTATGTATCCTAGGACGACCTTGAACTTGCCCCTGACCTGCAGCAACACGTTCTCTTCAAGTTAATTTATTAATCTACACTGGATGCCATAGATAATCTTCCTTCCTTAGCTGCCCCGGCGCTATGACAGCAGGCATGAGACACCATGCCTGACTGTGTCATTACAACATAACCTTTCTCCAGAAGAAATATTTTAATGAGAAACAAAAATAAATGACACTGTTTCTCCACTATAGTGCTTATGATTAGTTAGTCCTCATGTTTTACTAGTTTCTTCTTCTATTTAAGAACATTAACAACATAAAAGCCAAAACCACAGAAACTTAAAGATAGTTTGCTAATGCTTTTTCTTCCATTATTACTAGAAATAAAGAAAAGCTCATCAGAAAATTAAAACAGTCATCCCTTAAGAGAATAGCCTGCAGTCGATGGGATGTTACTCTTGGAGAAGTGATTGTAGCCAGACGACAGGATGTGTCATCACTATGATGTGTTGGAGAGCTCTTGTCAACACAAGTCCTTATCTCCTGTTGTTAAATATGGACATGAAAGCCAGGCCTCTGGTTATCACCTCTGGGATGATGTATATGGCTTCAAGCCATGCCTACTTTTAAACAGGGAGCTGAGCTGGCATTTGCAAATGATTCTGACAAAGGCTACCAAATCACTGGGAAATTTGAAAACCTGTAGAATGAGAAAACAAAATTGTTTCAACTAAATTAGGAACACATAGCGCCTGCTGATTCAGACAGAGCTAATGTGGGACTTTTTAAAACATATGTTGTCATCAGCTCCCAAGTTCCAAACGTCCCCTCAGAGAGAAACAAAAATGTCAATAAACAATCTTTAGTAAAGGACAGGGTAGTCTCACATTAGGACAAATCGTGGTCTTTTGGGTTGGATTAAAATTTATGAAGATCCTTTAAGTCAAAGAATCCTTTATATTAAGACTCTGGATTCCATGAAAATTACGCACTCACAGCCTGTGTTGACAATGTCAGCAGTTTCTTTATTTCTAAAAGGTAAATGATTTGATTTTCAACTGCATGATTTTTTCAAAAACGGCTTTGTTCTAATTTCGTCTCTTTTTCCCCACAATCCTGTGGGATGGGCTTATAGTATTGGTTGGTATGTTGTGTATTTGTTTTTGAGACTGGGTCTCATCTGTGTCGATGAAGATGACCATCTCCTAAGTGCTGGGATACCAGGCATGTACCACCATGCTGGGTTGGAACCCTGACTTTCCTGCATTCTAGGCAAGCACTCTACCAACTGAGTTATACCACCAGCCATTTCCTTAAATACTCCTTAAAAAAATGAGAACTAAATTTGAATTTAAATAATCATGTTTTTTACCCTAGGATGAAATGTAAGAATACCTCCACCTAACCTACTTGAGCATAGTCAATCATCCTTAAAGTTGATTATTTAGTCTGTGGTAGATATTGAAGATTTGGGGACTTTGTTTGTTTGTTTCATTGTTATTTGTTTTGCAGTGTTGAGACCTGAGTCAGGGCCTTGTATTCCTAGACAAGCACTGTACTACTGAGCAGCATCCCCAGGCCCTTCCTTCCTTCCTTCCTTCCTTCCTTCCTTCCTGCCTCCCTTCCTTCCTTCCTTCCTTCCTTCCTTCCTTCCTTCCTTCCTTCCTTCCTTCCTGCCTTCCTTCCTTCCTGCCTTCCTTCCTGCCTTCTTTTTCATTGACTGTACACAGCACATTTTGTATTCATTTCTTTGTGTATATGTGTTTGTGTGCACATACCACGATGCATGTGTGGGGACCACGATGCATGTGTGGGGATCAAAGGACAAGGTACAGTAGTTGGTTCTCTCCTTGGCACATATAGGACCCAGGGATAGAAGAACTTGGGCCATCAGGCAAGTGCCTTTACCCACTGAGCTTCTTGCCAACCCTTAAAGCAGTACCTTCTAGAATAGAAAAGCTTATCCTGTTGCTGGTATGCTTCATCCAGAACCTTTTCAATTCCAGCAAAAAAAAGTCTTTAATGAAGTTGGAGTTGTCATGTTCCATAATTCACTTTTCTTCATCAAACCCATCAGAAAGCTGAAAATGAATTCAGATTTTTCAAAAAATATGTCAATGTTATATATCAAAAGCTTAATATTTACTTTTTCTATAAATGTGTTCTAGTTAGATAATTTCAGAAAATTATACTTAGGATTTTGTGAACTTCCAAGGAAGACTTCCACCTCAGTCTGGTTCCTGGTTTGGTGTCACACCACAACTTCTTGCCCATATGAGAAGTGCTCATCCCAGGGTCAGGTTCATGGACAGTGGCATGTAGACCTTGAGTGCCTACTAGGAGTTCAGGCTTACTCATTCCCTTGGGATACCCATCTCCACCCCATAGCGATAGCCCTCAATCTTCTTCATGTTAGAAATAATAAGTTAAGAACAGGCCTTAGTCTTGGCAGAAACGTTAAGACCAAGCAACTGGGATACATCTAAGGCAAGAAACAAACAGATAAACAAACGGCACCATAATAACACCTGAATTACAAAAAAAAAATCCTTCTACATTATAAACTGCAAGATAGGCATTCTTTTATTTTGCTTGTGCAGTGGTTTAGCCTTTAACTAAATCTGGGGAGCCACGAAATTAAGAACACAAGCTTTGGGATTAGGTAACAGCTACCAAAATTCTAGCTTTGCCATTTATTAGTTCCCTGATTTTAGCATTTAGTTTATTTAATCCCTTTAAACTAACTTTCCTTCTCTGTCAAACAGGGGGATAAAGAGGCTTTAATGAGATAAAGCAGGTAGAGAACTAAACTCCCTTTATGGCTCTATAAATGATTATTACTAATTATGACATCATTCACTAAATAAGTGCTACCAAGATTATTATTCATGATTATCCATTAGTTCTCTGTTCTTGATTGTAGAGATTTTTTAAAATGAGTGTCTACAACTAAGGCAGACAAAATTTCTGCTCTGACATTCTAGTGCAAGGGGTAACATTCCTCTTCATGTGTCTCTCCATCAACCTTCATTTCTGCCTCTCTCCCACACGTTAGTAATCCATCTGTGCATAATCTCTGTGCCCCATCCTTCCCCTTCAAAACCTCAGTTTCAGTTGTCTTGATCTCCCTAGGGCACCCCACGCACTATGGAAACCTTTCCTTTCCCTGTCCTTAATGTTTGTGATTACTAAAAAATAACAAGACAAAGAATTTCAGTTCCCAGCACTGGAAAAAAGAAAGGATTGAATGTTGAAAGAAGGGATTCCAAATATAATCAGAGGTACTCTGGCTGTCCTGGAGACCATGTTGGCTGAGGTCTTCCATGCTGACAGCAAATAGCCTACAAGAAACAGTGTGCGTTGGGATGGGAAAAGGCTCGCATGCAGTCTGCTAGGGGAACCCTCCCTTCTGACAGACAGTAAAGAGAGCGTGAATCTCTATACAAGAACATGAGGTCTTGACTGAGTTCCTCATAAATGACAGCAGAAACTAGAGATTGTTATATCAGAAAAATCGATATGTAATTAGACGACTCAGTTGGAGTTGAGAGATCATCCCAAAGTGATGATGGAATTCTAGATCATAGGGTTTTTAAAAGTATTTTATTAATTAATTTTTATTTTATGTGTATGAGTGTATTGCCTGCATGTATGTGAGTACACCCATGTCGTGCAATGCTACAGAGGTCAGAAGAGGGCTTTGGATTCCCTTGGAACTGGAGTTAAGGATGGTTTGTAACCACCATGTGGGTGCTGGGAATCAAACCTGGGTCCTCAGTGCTCCTAACCGCTGAGCCATCTCCAGCCCCAGAAATCTAGATCATAGTTTTAATAACATCAGGCCTGTTGATTACGTATAAGAGAAACTAAAACAGAGGCAAATAACTTCAAGTCTCAAGAAGATTCAATGAGGCAATTTTTAATGCTGTGACTGAATGCACAGACTTTGTCATCAAACAGACCATGTTCTCTTTCAGGTCTATCACTTAGTAGGCTGAGTGATTTCTTGTGTATTTATTCATCCTGTGGATATTTATCAAGATTCAATCATATACATGGGGCTTTTGGGGGCACTGGGGATGTGTAATAATGAACAAACACATCAAAATCCTCATTTTCATGACACTATTGCTATAGTAGGGAATGATAGCTACCTATAAGGGAAAATAATAATATGTGAAAATAGTGACGGGAGGAAAGGTAGGACATAGGAGGGTCATGTGGAGTTCCAGTTTGTAT